TGATGAACCCAAGCGATGACACAAAAACCCTGCTCCACACTGTGGGATTTTGCTACCAACATAGGTACCGATAGAGTAACCGAAGGGTTATCTCAATAGCAGCGGCGATCTCAAAGGAGACGTCAAACCTAGTAGCGCGGTCCCCACATCTCCGCGGCAAAATAGACGACGTTTAGGGCTACATTACCGCGGGCCGCTTCGATAAATTACCTCCGTCGGTGCCAATGATCGTCTACCATGTCTCACTCTCTCGAATATAGCGGAAGAGAAGACACGCGTACCAGAGTAAGGACAGAGTCCAAGATCATTTATTAGAACTCTCTTAATGAACTACTAAGTCCCAATCCAAAATGCCCCCCTTACCTGCTAGACGCGGGGTTCCGGAGAGACAAGATCGTGGAAACATCGGAGAAGTCGCCGATACACGTCCTATCTCTTTCGCGGTCACCGGACGAGTACCCCTCCCGAAAGCGAGAAAAGTAGAGGCGAAACCTCCTCGCCTGTCAACAGTGAGCCGTATCCGAGCGGGGGAATGTAAAGAGGCCCCCCGGGAGAGAGTGAGGGGAGGGCCCTCCAAGACAGGGGACCCCCCGCTTCACGAACAGGTCGGAGCTCACGGCGAAGGAGGCCAAGCGTTCCGACCCGCGGCCGTTATCGCAGCCATCGGGGAATGGAGATCACAGGAATCCCCACAACACCCATCACTCTATTAAAACTGTCATTTAAAAAACTGCATCACTGAGATATACTCAAAGTTTAAATATTTTATTGTGTATTTTCGTAGACCTTGTCTGAACAAAATTATATTCGTTCTGTCATTGACACGTGTAACCATGATGGTGCATAGAAACCGAAACTTGATTATCTGAAGTTGTAGACAACTGTGAACTGTAGTAAAGTAATGATTTGAGCTAGGTGGTACTTCAACATGAAAAAGAAAAAACAGCGCACAAAACAGAGATTAAGATAAAAGGACACGGTGCTCTATCGTTTTACCTGTCCTTTTTTCTTCCTTTGCGACTACTATAATTTTCGTAAAGACAAATTTTATTCTAGATGGTGTGATATTATCGCATAAACAAACCTTCTTTCATGTGACTCACTCACAATTAACTCTGACCTTGACTGGGTTCATGCGAAATCGCTATCTTCCTACCATATAATTGTCGTATGTTATCAATCACCGTCATTCTTTGGGCACATCTGCAAACGTCTGGACGAGTGCGTATGCTGCATAGTACCTAACTTGCCAGTAACGCCGGTGATATTAGATATCCAGTATCAACTGAAGTGAACTTCGCTTCGGCCAGGTTGTAGTGATTCGTCGGATTGCAGAGAGTTAGTGTCAGTTACTCAGTTTTGCAACCTTCACGACCTTTGCAACCTTGTAACGAACAATCACGAGGTGATTCTGTTCTTGATATCTTCTCATCTGATCCCGACTGCATTTTTTTAATATTTTATACCATATTAGCGACCACAGCACTGTCCCTATCGGCTCAGCATTTTTTCTGGTCTGACAAAGCCTCATTACAAAAAAAAAAAGAAGTCTTTTTCAATTATTTAGAGGTCGACACCAACAAGCTGCTGTGACCTTTGACTATTTCTTAAAAAAATATCTGATCTATTTTGGACACACGATCTGGAGCTAAGAACTGGGAAGTGCTTAAGGATAAAATCCACAAACTTCTCAAAGACTGCATCCCGCTAGATATTATAAACAAAAATCTTATGGAGCCCGTGGCTTCAAAACAATCATAAGAAATATTATTACCAGAATGAAACGGTTATTTCCTCAGCCAAATCAAGATATATTCCTGAAGTATTGTCAAAGGACAAGAAAAGTGAAAAAAAATTACAGATTATAAATTAGAAGAGGTGAAGCAAAGTTTATTAATTAGGACCTGGCTAACACGTTATTAACCAAAGATCGAAGGTTTTGGCACAGGGTCCGGCCTAGAAATCAACCCCCCCCCCCCCCCCCCCGATTATCCGAGAGAGTAAAGAGACCATGGTGGTCTTCCAATGACTCATCATCCATATTTATCTCGTCTTTAGTTCAGTATCCCTGAGTGAGTCATTTCCATTATCCTTGGGGTTATGTCCTGCTAACACGAGTCTGAATAACGTGGTATTTACACCACGCAGAAATGCAAACGACATAGAACGCTCGCGCGCAAACTCGGCTTGTGGCAACCACATCTCAAGAACCTTTCTTAAAATGACCAAAGATAAAGTACCTGTCCTTTGTGCCACATTTTTCAAGCATCACTTTGTTCATCTGATTTAGCTTACAATTGGATATTTGCAAAAGTGTTCCTCATGTATACGTTTGGAGACCGTCTTGATAGTCAATCCAAGTAAATTATTCGAGCGCGTCATATATTCGCAAGTCATGGACTACCTTAACAACTTGAGCTATTTTCACCCTCATCTATTCGTCTTTTGCAAACATAGTTTTGTGTAGCTTAGCTACTTGAAGCTGTAACGGGCGTGCGTAGTACCTTTAGTGAATCGTGTACTGTGGATAACATTTTTATTGATATCGCCAAAGCATTTGATAGTGTCACTCCATCAACGTTTACTCCTGAAACTTTTTAACTAAACATTAATAATCATGTTATCAGTTGGATTATATTATTTTCTACGAATCACAAGCACTCTGTTTTTACAGAATATATATCATCCTCCCCATTACTGTAAAATCTGGAGTTCCCCAATGCAGCGCCTTCGGACCACTTTGCTTTCTTTTTTACTTGAAAGGCCTACCTTCATCATTGTTACCCGTGAGGATTGTCTCGACCACTGTGTTCTGTGTGGCCTAATTGTTTCACAAATTGGGAGAATGGTCCGTAGTATGCCAAGTGATCATAAATGTTGTTAACTACATGTTAATTTGTTCTAGTTGTTTTAAACATATCAATTACATCAAAGATCTGAATGCATTCACATCAGTAAGATGGTTAGCGAAGCATCAATAACTCATGAATTTCTTTAGTATAGTTTTACTCAGAACAAAAGAACGTAAAACGTACTGCATACAAATCCTGGTTCGGTCTAAACACAGCTTTAAACAACACCATTAAACACAGCTGCCCAGGACCATCGTTCACCCAGAAACTTCCGGTAATCCAGTGCATACGGTTTCTAGATCTCTCCTTGGAGTTCAGAACTACCCGCGTGTGTTGGATGTATGATGCCCGCTCACGTAAAAGATTTTTTCCAAGCAACTCGGAAAACGCAAAAACTGTAAAACGAGGGTTGGCCACCAAAGCTCTCATCTCGGCATTACAAAAATCTTGCCCCCATAGAGTCGGGCGCAGCTTTCAAAAACAGCTCTCTGGGGCTTCAGGAATTTTGTTCCGCAAGCACACTCCTAATACCGGTATGCGAGGGCCTCCGCAAGCAAGTGCGGCAAAAACAGAAAAAAATGCACAACCAAAAAAAAAAAAAAAAGAAGCCATTAAACCTTTTGTGGTGATGCCATACATTCAAGGGATAACGCATCGCCTAAAAAAGATTGCCGGCCGACAAGGCGTACAGGTCGCATGCTTAGCCCCCAACAAGGCATATGCCATGTGCCGTAAGGTGAAGTTAAGGAGTGACCAAAATCAGTAGTCCACATACGGCATCGCGCACCGAACACCGTACGCCCCATGCGAGAAAGGAGTTGTGTACAGTATTCCGTTATCATGTGACAAATGCTACATTGGACAAACTGGGGGATGTATTAATGACCGCACCAGGGAGCATGCAGCTTCCGTTGACGCACTAATGTCAGCTGGCCATCTTCTTGTCGAGTAGGCCAATGCTCTCCTGATTTCGAAAACGTTACCATCGTCCGAAGACACAAAAACCAGCTCGCAAGGGAAATCCTGGAGTCTCTGGCTACTGAAGGGAACTGGGACGACTGTGTGAGTGTCGCCTCCATTACGCTATTTCCGAAAGAAAAACTGTGTTTTCTGAGAGCGCCCCATGTGAGAAACCAAGTCAGGAACATGTGAACGCTAGCCACAAAATATCATACCAAAGAAGAAGTTATCCCTGAGAACTCAATAGTATAATTCATGAGAATAGATGAAAAAGAAGAATTTCAGTAAATGGTTGATAGTCCAGCAGTGTGTGTCTCTTTTTCTCCGCTCCTTCGTTTTTTCCCTCTACGTTCAGCTGGAAACCTTCAGAGGTAAATATAATATGCCGGCACAATATAGCACAATCATTAGCAATACGTCATAAATATATTATATTGAAGTTAAAACAAATATCACCCTCTTCATTCTTCGAAGCTATTTCACGCATGCTCAACTGCTGTAAGCTTGCCTCATACATTTATTTTCGTCACAATCGCTTCTTGAAAATTAGACCTCTATTCAGTTGCCTAATAAATTCAAATTATTTTTCTTGCTCTCTCTATTAAAAATCAAATCCGCCTCCCTAACGATATAGCTACCTAAACTAACAATGTCACATTCCGCGAAAAATGCTTGGCTTCGATGTTGTGATGTATGTTGTTTTATACCCCATGTGTCTTCGTGCTTTCTGGCACTTCCGGATATTGCTAAAGCTAAGTTCAAACATATAGTGCTCAAATGCTGTGTAACCTCTTTCAAGGTTTTTTTTTACTTTTTTTTTAATTTAGTATTTCTTCTTTTTTTTGCAAACGTATTGAGTGTTTTTTTTTTTTTTTCGCATTACGTAACACGTTGGAGTGCACGTATATGAGGGTAATGAATGTAAACTTAAACTTGAGCTTTTAAATATGATAAATGTATTTCTGCACTTCACAAGGGCGCAGCATAAACTATAGAAATACGTGGTAACAGGCCCCACGGCGAGGGAAAGCGACAGCACAAAACGTTTCATACGAAAGATAGTAGAAGTGATAAGAGAATCCACAACGCGAAATACCTTATTGACACACGCTATCCGATATCAACACTGAGAAGATTAGACCTGAGGAAATTGCGTACGTACAGCAGCATAAAATGGGGTTTCGGTTTTCGAGTAGATCGACAAGGCGGGTTTCGCCCTGATCTCGCGTATCACACGCTGCTGACTCTCAAGGTGACTTGGCGCACCCCGAAGAACTTGTCGTACAAAGTGAGTACCGATGTCATTGTTTATACAGATAGAGGCTTAAACAGAGAAATCGTGAATCTCATTAAGCTATTACTGTTCAGAATTAGGATGTTGCAGCTCGGTCTTATTAAATACTTTTAAAAAAAATTGTCGCTTTTGGATTTTACGAATAAAAAGCTTTGCGGAAAGACCATGAAAAATGTATCTATATCATACGTGCGTAGCGACTTAGGGGCACATGCGACAGAAAGTTTTTTTTTTAATTATTATTTCCGATAACTGAATGAAATTTTTAAAGTTTATAATGCCTGATCTTTCAAGAAATCAGGTGTTAGTTTCGATGTAGCTTGTTTTTTTATGTTTTGGAAACTATGCACGTGCAGAAAAAGAAACATATGTGCTTTTGCACATTTAGAAATGGACAATTGAGTTAAAAGAGCCTAGCAAAGTAAGCTTGACGCCCATTTCAGACCATCGAGAGCGATCATAAAAGTTTGTGTGCACGATCTTTTTAATAAAAAAATAAATAAAATTGAAAAAAAAACTCTTTTCAAAGAGTTACCAAACGTTTCATACATTGTTCGTAAATATAAAAACAAATATGCATGCTAACCACACCTTGAGAGTGACATTTTACAAATTCAAAGTCATACGTATGCCAGATGTAGTTGTGATACGAAAATATTATGAACAACTTCTTGTGCGTAAACTGTAAAGACGGCAAAAAATTACATAAAGAGAAAAGCTCGTTCGAATGTTACCATACCTCACTCTTTCGCGGTGAGAAAAAAAAATGTTACTAAATTTCTGCGAGAAATTGAAAATCCAGAAAACTGCATTGCAGATATACGGTGGGGGCTACTTCTCAACTCATAATAATGGCGGGGACGTCGTAAGTTGGAGAGCCGCGAACACAAAAAATTACTCAACTTTACGCCGTTGTGAGTCGCTGGAAGCTTTTCAAATGCCTTGTTGACTAATGTTGCGATCATTACCGGTCCTTCTAATTTTTATGATTATCTATGAAGATTCAAAGGTAATAATATATCATAAAACACCAAATCAAAAATTTAAAATCATATGGCTGTTCTTCGATCCGAATTTCCCATACAGTCATCCAATAAATAGTTAGTCATTCTTGCTTGTAATTTATTACTTTTGAATAAAATCAATTATAGTTGGAATCTATTTAGTTTTAATGTCAGTATTTACCGTTCTAATTAAATTGCAACCACTCTGCTACGAATGTGTCACGCATTTGTCCTGTTGGGTCACTGACAGTCAAAAATGCAGCGCCGACCGCGACCATACAGCTGGGTTACCGCCAAAACCACGACACCAGTCATAGAAATGCCTTTGGTAAAGCAAGCGACATTTATTGTCCGAATTAATAGGAGAAATCAAGACAGAAAGGTTGTGATTTGTACTCAAAATATCTAATTAGACCTCCCATGTCGGCCAATTCCAAAATAATTAAAAGTTTGCATCGCAATCAGCCGACGAACAACAATGTCACAATCTAAACCTCGAGAGGAATACAAATAAAATACCGGACAAGACTTGTCGGTTATTCTACATCTCCTTGTCTCGGGGTTTGAATTATGATGTTTCCTAGCCAGCTTGCCTGCATATTTTCGCTCCTAACAACAATAGGTCACATTTCCTTTAGACTGCAGCAGGGTCGAGAATAAAAATCATTTTATTATAATCATGACATAAATCATGATTTAAATCGTGATTTAGACTACTTTTAATAAAATGATTTAGTAGACCTTTCCCGAGAAATATCTGACCGAAAATACTTCTTATTTACCGTTTTCTTTTTATGAAGCTTTCAATGTGCCTTGGTTTTTGTATTTAAATCAAAGAATCGTCAATCAAGACAGGCTTATATAGGACTGGACACGAGCTAAAAGAAATGCTCTTAGCAAATTGGAGCGTGAGCTTGATTTCTACCTTCTACTTCTTTCGATATACGTAACGCCCTATTGCAACGAAGTAATAACGAAAAAGAAAGAAGGAGAAACAAGAAAAGTAATGTCCTCTGCAATAAAGCAAGAAATAAAAAAAAAAGTTTTTTTGACTCTCTAAAAACGTCAGGCTCTTTTGCTCTATTTTGGTGGGGACTCAATAAAAGTTGTTAATTAACGTGTGCGTTACATCTACAATTCTTTCCTCTGTATTTTTATTCGTGGTAGGACGAATTGCTCAATCAATTTGCCATGTTGACAACCATGTTGGTTAAGAGTCACCTCTTCCTAGCCACAGTTATTTAAATCTAATTAATTTGATTTAGGTAAAAACATTTGATTTAAATATAAATAGATCTAATTTATATCGAACAGATCTGATTTATTTGATTTGTAAACTAAGTCATGATTTCCTTCACCCAGGACTGCAGTGATAAAAAGAACGCACTAACTCTTGTCTTGCAAACAAACGAAAGAACTAACCCGTATTGTACTGAGAACTAACACTCCTGTATAATATAAATATTAAACTAGGTGATAAACGTGAAGAATGTAAAACGTAGAACAATATTGACACCTTCATTGACTGGCCTGGGCTAAAAAAAATTCGTCTTAGTGCAAAAAAATGCAGTCCCGTTAGCCCAATTTAGTTAGGTTAGAATCGCCGAAAAGTAATTACAGTAACTTTTAAAGCTACATAAAATTCTAGTTACTTCTGACTAATAGTGATAAAAATTATAATTGGCTACTCTTTAAGATAAAGAATTGTACCTCTGGTTAAATTACTTTAAGAGGTTACGGCTAGTGCGTAGTCAAGCTGGTTGAAGTTTATCACAAGCAAAGCCAGCGCGTAAACAACTACGTGCAAGTCATCTTCGACGGAGCGTGGGAAACTGCTACTGGCCAGTTGGACTGTCACCCTAGCGACACCTAGCTACAAAGGAGGAGGCGCTACACGTTCTTTCGGCACTTTGGCAGTGGCGGCGGCTGACTGAACATCGCTTCTAAAAATCTGCGCTACCATTGCAGGCTGCCCCTGATACCACACGCAGCTGGAACACGCGGTCCTCAAGCATCTTCATCAAGTGCGATCAACCACAAGCAAAGCCAGCGCGTAAACAACTACGTGCAAGTCATCTTCGACGGAGCGTGGGAAACTGCTACTGGCCAGTTGGACTGTCACCCTAGCGACACCTAGCTACAAAGGAGGAGGCGCTACACGTTCTTTCGGCACTTTGGCAGGGGCGGCGGCTGACTGAACATCACTTCTAAAAATCTGCGCTACCATTGCAGGCTGCCCCTGATACCACACGCAGCTGGAACACCCGGTCCTCAAGCATCTTCATCGAGTGCGATCAACCACAAGCAAAGCCAGCGCGTAAACAACTACGTGCAAGTCATCTTCGACGGAGCGTGGGAAACTGCTACTGGCCAGTTGGACTGTCACCCTAGCGACACCTAGCTACAAAGGAGGAGGCGCTACACGTTCTTTCGGCACTTTGGCAGTGGCGGCGGCTGACTGAACATCGCTTCTAAAAATCTGCGCTACCATTGCAGGTTGGTTATCGTTGCTTACACTTTTTATCCACTGTGTATTACTGTCGTCGCTGCTGCCAAGCCCTTTTTGTTGTCCGAATTTTTATTGTTGAGCCCTCTACCTTCACTGTCACCCTGCTTTTGTTGTGCGAATTTTTATTTTTGAGCATTCTTTTCGCCATGACCAAGGACATAACTAAATTGCTTGCTGAACTTAAAGATGATCTAAAAAAAGAACACAAACTGTTTCGAGAAACGTTTGAACGCGATTTCAGGACGGAATTTCGTACCGTTCAGTCGGAACTTCAGGGCATAAAGGCTAGCATGGACTTCATAAACAAGGATTATGAAGACATGAAAGCAAAGTTGAAAGCAGCCGAGGAAGCGAACTCCGCTTTGGAAAAAAAAACTGTCGGCCTTCAAGAAAAGTATGACGTCATGCTCAAGACCGCTCGTGAAACTGAACTGAGACTCATTCAATGCGAGCAGTACTCCCGTAATCGAAACCTGGAAATAAAGGGGATTCCACGAGTTGAAAACGAGGACGTTATGAATCTAATCAGTACTATCGGCGAACTGGTGGGCGAGAACATTGCAGTTTCAGACATAGACATATGTCACCGAGTGCCAACCAGAGACCCTGGAAAGAGTAACTTGATCGTGCAGTTTCAACACAGGCACACGCGTGACCTGATACTTGAAAAGGCAAAGAAAAAACGAATCACTACTACAGATCTTGGCTTTGATACAGCCGCGCCTGTGTTTGTGAATGAACACTTATGCCCCCCTCTTAAACGGCTACTGGGAATGACCCAGGCTAAAAAGCGAGAGTGCCAATGGCGATATGTCTGGGTTCGGAACTGCAAAATCATGGCACGAAAATCTGATGACGCTCCCGTTGTTACTATCACTCATGAGGATGACCTTGCTAAAATATGTTAGTTGATTTCTAAAACTAGTACTTTTTTTTTTCCTTATGAACTATCACGAATTAGTTCTACCAACTGATATTGCAAGTTGTTGTGGTACAAAGGATATCGCTGTTTTTCATCTAAATACCCGCTCCGTAAAAAACAAAGTTGATGACATTGTCACTCTTTTTGAGATGTGTAAAGTTACTTTTGACGTTATAATGTTTTCTGAAACTTGGTGTCAGTCTGACCAGGATATGCTAATCTTACCAGGCTATAATAATTTTTCTCTTAATAGAAGTGAACGCAGAGGGGGTGGTGTTTCAATCATGGTAAACCGGGAGTTTCAGTGTGAAAAGCTGCTTTCGTTTACGGAAATCACGGAGAACTATGAAATTTTGAGTTTGAAGTGTGAAAATAAACTCTTTTCTGTTGTTTATCGTCCGCCTTCAACAGATTTCGGCAAATTTTTTTCTTTTTTAGACACTTATTTGGAATTTGCGTCTGCAAATAACTTATCGGTTATCATAGGAGGTGATTTTAATGCGAACATGCAAGAAAACTCGAGTCTGTCACAGCAACTAAATAACATTATTACTTCTTA